CAGGTGGACGTGGGGTGTAGAATTTGTATCTGATGAGCTGTTTTGGACATGTTTGAGGTATCCAGAATACATCCAGAATGATCTCCCAGCTCACTTCTTGAGTTTATTTATAGGTTTCAAAAAAAAGCTACTAGTGAGAAACAGATTAAAGATATAAAGAGCAAGGATTGTTGAAATGGCGTGGAGAGGATGGGGTGAATTAAACAACAGCCTTTCAAGGAAGGGAATTAACTAAAGGGAAAAAGAGGTGACCTTTTCTTTGAGGGGAGAATTGTGTTATCATCAGTGAATCTGACAACAGAGTCGGTAAAGACAAGACCTTTCCTGCTGTGTGGCAGAGAACTATGCTGCATCAGCGTGAAGACCTGGAATCAGACAGACCCAGACCCAAGTCTTATCAATAGCTGTGTAGCTTTTGGTGAGTCTCTATTTCAACGTCCACAAAATGGGAGCAATAATAATATTTATCTCATATTCTGTTGGGGGTATCAAATGACAGAACACAGAGTTTCTGATAAAGCACGTAGTAACACCACGCTATTCACAAATGCCTAGTGGAAACTAGCACCCAAACCTTTGGGCTTTCACCAGCTCCTGCTTTTCAGATTTTGCCCACAGCCCCAGGATTAGTAACCTGCTGAGTGGTACCCTATGAAGACAGAGAACAAGGGAATTGAAGGTCTCCGTAAGAATGCTATTGAAGGAATCGTTTCCTTTGTGGATGGCATCAGTACATCCTTATTTGGGGTGATGGATAGTAAGAACAGAAGAAGCTGCTACTGAGGATTTTAAAAGTTGCTTTCCTGGTGGGAGTAAGGGAAGGAGACACAGAGAAGGCTCGGGGAGAACGACCTCCAAATATGCCAAGACAATGGCATGCCCAAGAAGTTCCAGAAAACCTGCTGTGACTTCTCCCTGTTAAAGCCAATCTGGAGATGGGTGAGGGCTGACTGAATTATGCTTCCCAGGGGATGTCACCATACAGCAAGGCTTTCACAGTGGGAACATGGGCTGGGGTGGCAGCTGACTAGTAGTGGGGCAGCTCTGAAAGGAAATTAAATGAAGCCAAAGCTCATGAGATGGTGAACAGGCACCATAGAGCACAACAATTCTCCTTTTGTGATCCCCACAAGCCCACAGAAAATCTACCAAAATTATAGCATGCCTGTTGGGTTTGAAATCTTACAGAGACCAAAGAAGAAGCAAACCTTGCAGGCCAGGTCAGATTCTTCAGCTGGGGATACTTTGCACCATCCCAGGAGCTTTTATAGGAATGTTCTGGTACAGACACCATCACAGAATAGTGAAGTCAGAATCTCTGGGGATTAAGATCCTGCAAAGTTCCTCAGGGACTCCATTGTGCAGCTGTGGTAAAAATAGTCAATGTAAGGGACTCCGGGAGAAGAGACCAACTGACAGGAAGTAAGGTAGAAACCCTCAGAGGACATGGCATAGAAATCACTTAACCGCAAAGTGAAATTGGAGCTCTCACCCAATTGACAAAGATTCCTATGGGCAGAAAACCCCTTAAATGTCCTCTGAGCTATAGAGGTGTACATGTGCAGAGGGCTGCAGAGGTGGGGAGAAGGTAGAGGCCTTTGACATGAAGGGCCCAGGACAAAGTTATGTTATGGGCCAACCAGAGGAGTTGTTTTTACCTCACCAGGAAGAAAATTCTTAGGGTTGCTTGTTTCCTCCAGCTCCTTTCTTCAACAGGTGAGTTAATAGTTCAGTGAGTGTTCTATTCTTACACAACAAATGACCAGCTTTAAACAAAATACGTTTTAAAGCCATCTTTCCTATTGCACTGATGCAGAATACTTATAATACTTATAACGGCCTAGTTTGGTCTTCTCTTAAGGGTCTCATCAGGCTCTAGTCAAGATGAGGCTGTAATCTTACCTGAGACTCTAGCTTCTTCATTGATTTTTATGTAGAATTCAACTCCCATTTAGGTCAGACCTACCTAGGATAATCTCTCTTTGCTTAATTTAGGGACCTTAATCACATTTGTAAAATCTCTTCACTTTTGTCACACATCATAACCCAAAAATGGACTAGGGCATCAATATTCCATCATGTTCACGGGTCCTGCTCACACTCCAGTAGAAGTGAGTGTACAGGTGTGCGTGCCAGGAGGTGAGACTCTTTAAGACAGTCTAAGAATTCTGCCTACCAAAATAGCCATGGTGTATTTATTCATTTAACAAGTGTTTATTGGACTCTACTATGGCCAGGAATTATTTATTTATTTGATGATTTATTTGAAGGCAGTAAATGCTCTGAAAAATAAAGCCGAATTTGGACTGTCACTTCGTATTAATCCAGGGCAATGCACTCTTTTAAGTATTTTGCATCAGTGCAACAGGGAAGATGGCTTGATGGCATCTAATTATGGGTCAGTCCGCACCCTTCACAGGCTCAAGGAAGTGAAAGGGTGAACTCCTTTGAAAGACACTGAAGTGAGAAGAGAGCCCCAGGGTGCCCTGCTCATTCAGGGCTGCCAGTGAAATTGTTTCCCCAAGTTCATTCATCTACTCAGCACCCGCTGCAGTCATGCTCCAAGGGGGCCAGGCTACTAGGAGGTGGCAGCAAACCTTGGCATCATTCACATGGAAATACCTTTTTAGGCATGAATTCAGAATGAGAGAATTGTGGTGTCATGGAGGCTTCTACTCAGATTTCAAAGGAAGACCTGAGCGACCAGGCAATTAGCCCCTGAGAGGATAGTGTGAAAGGCTTTGGGTGAAGCTGAGGGTTCAGTGGAGACTGCAAGAAGTTGGAGATGGCTGGAACTTGAGACATCTGCTGAGTACAACTGTAGGTAGTGAACAGATCCTGTTCAAGAAAGAGGCCATGTGAGCTGCTTCTGAGTATCTCCCCCTTCTCAGTATCTCTACCACTGTCTCACTCTTCTGAGTATTTTGAATGAGCACTGGATTCAGTACTGGATCCTGAGGAACCTCACCCACACTCAATTTGTCATTTCTTTTAGCAGCTTTAAACTCATATAACTGATTTTCCCCCTAAGCTATTTGAATTCACTGTGAAAGTGAAATTTCACAAAGTGCTACATTGCCTGTTTTACCCATATACAAACATCTAGAATTTACAGTGTCATATTTGAAAAAAAAAGCAAAGAAAATCTGAACCAGCCCAAACAGATTCCTCTGGTTGGTTTGTACCATTCATTCCAATTAAATACAAAACATGTGTTACTCCAGATGGCTACAGTTCTTTGCTTCCTGGGTAAAATAACTATAAATGGAACAAATCAGGTGACTGACTTCCATGATGGTTTTTACTTTCTGAGCCTCTTAGGTGGCTTCTGGTTATTATTTCTGATGCTGCTAGTTTGAAGTGATAATTCCTGGTATTTACCGAAAGGAATCATGTAGTGGAAATGACCTAGACTTGGAAGCTTTGGGTTTGAGCTTAGGTCTAGCTCCTCAGTTTGTTGGTTTGTACTCTTGTGTCATAGTGTCCTGTCTCCTAGGTGATCACTGTGGATCCACATAGCTAAGAGGAGAAAAGTAATTCTCTTTCCTTCTGCAGCTTAGGTTTTTTGTTTTTGTTTTTGTTTTGCTGAGATCCTATAAAATTAGAATGACAAAAAGACTGACAAAAGTGAATAAAAGTGTATTACCATGTACATCACCCATATGCATAGGAGTAGTAAGAAATGAGCAATTCAAGAGGGTGGTTAGAATTTGAGATGTATATACCTAACTTAGTGGGAAAAGGGAAGAGGAAAAAGAGCATTTATGGAGTAGTAAATGACTTTGGAAAGACAAAAGGCCCTTAAAGAGAATGTGTAAAGGATATAATAGATGTGGACTTCTAGAAGGAAGTATTAGAGTCGTTTTGGGGGAGGGTATTTATGATAACTGAATGCTCTGGGGAGGTTGTGCTTTTAAGCAAATAAAGGATTTCAAGATCTTTAGCACAAAATAATTTGTATGCCAAAGTGGCATATCTTGTAGACATATAGTCTGATCTCCTTTATAGCCCTAAAATAAGTTATTCTGTAATATAATTCACTGGCTCATTTAGATATATCGCATTCTGTGCCGAAGATTTTGAATGTGAAGTATTCTATTTTGCTTTGTTCACAAATTATGAGGACCAGGATATTGTTTGCTCTTTGAGTTGCTTAACAGCCATGAGCATGACTGTTTGCCTCTGTCAGGGTGTATGAGAAGTTCTCCATCTAAAGAATGTGCTTTTCAGGGCTGTGGAATAACAGGGGGCAAGAACTTTGCTTTTCTTCTCTGACTTGAATCAGATCGTGTGCTGTATTTCATTAAGGTGTGAAAGATGGATGCCAGTCACCTAATTTACCTCAGATGGTGCAACACAGTTTGTACCAAGAGATGAACTCTACTTAGAGGGTACAAGATTCCTCAGAAAATAATTTGCCAACTGTAAAAGAAGAGAGAAGAAATATGAAGGAAGGCAAGAAATTTTGGTCTGTATAGCACCTGAGTGAATATCCAACCAAACTATGACTATGTTTACCACGGAATTATTATGAGCCGTTTACCAGTTTAGATGCTGCTGCTTCAAGGAAGTTAGTCCTGAGGAAAACTGTCATGGCTGAATCTGAGAAAAAAATCTCTTTGTGTCTAGAAAAAATGCTGCATGATGGTTTTTATGGAGAAGTCACTATGACATTATGCTTTATTATTTTCTTCAACTTTCGATAGGCATAATGGAATTAAATTATTAAAAAGGGAGGACTAGCTACAATGAAGAATATCTTTATATTTGAGAATGCCCTTATCAACAGCAAAATGAAGTGATATATCTTGATGTCTATAACTTACATTCAAGTGATTCAATTAAAAATGCAAATATATATATAAATATGTATATGAAGACCTATATAGCTCTACTTACCTATATCTGTATATATGTGGGTATACATTTATATGGATATACATTCATATAAAAAGAGAGAAGATTAAATATTCCATTTCCTTCCGCTTTCCTAGGTTTTCTAGCTGGGAGCCTTGTAAAATCGGGCAGAGAGAGAGACAGACTGTCAAGAGGAAAACAAACAGAAGTGTATTCACGCGCATGTTGCATGTGTACAGATAAAGACAGCACACAAGCTCCTGAACAAGTGAGCAAGCGCATAAATTGGCTAAGTGTCAATTACTTGCCAAATTTACGTGGTGTGCATTTCATTCTTCTTTCAACTCTTCTGTACATTTGAAAATTTTCAAGGTAAATATTCCAGAATAATTTTAAAGCAATGTGCTAAAATGTTCTGGGGGAGCTACGCAGAGCACCGGATGTAGAGAAAGCGCAGACGCAACCTACCCTGTAGAAGGATGGATTCAGAGGAAGGACACCAGCACAACTACTGCTGAGGCTGAAACACTTTCTCTGTGGTGACTCATGGAACCCTCACAGAAACACTGGGAGGGAGGGACAGTTATGATCCCATTTTCTACATGAGAAAACTGAGGCAGCCGGAAATAAAGTTGTTCAAGTCCACACTGGGGCAGTCAGTTTTCACACCTCCAGGGACAGTCATTCACAAAGTCGCACTCTATAGTATTATGGGCCACCTCGCTAATAAGAAGTGTATCTGGGGAGTCACACTCAGAATGTCTGCCTGTGGAGCGTATATCCTGAACCTCTGCAGAGAAGTCCATATGGCTGGGACGTAGGGCATGAAGTCATAATGGGGAGGAGTGAGGTGAGAAGTCAGAAGTGGCTGGATCAAAAAAGGCCTCCCATGCTAACCCAAGTTGTCTGACTATGCAAAGCCACTGAAAGATTTTAAGTGGAGACAGAAGAGATTTGAGTGGGCTGTAGGGGAGTGAAACCAGTAACCTGATTGGGAAACGTGCAGAAATTCAGTCACAAAACAACACAGGTCCAAACCGAGGTAGTGGGAGAGCAAGTAGAGAAGACAATGCCTTAGTCAGCCTTTTCGTCTGCAGTTTTCCGATCATCCTTGGATCCCTGTGCTAATCCCAGAACAAGCCTGAGCCACTATATTTTCCCTCCATCTGAGAGTAGTGCTTTTGATCTTTTGAGATCCATAAATACTCCTCTACTTGCCCAGCCACTTTCTTTGCCAATTAGACAGGTCCCAATAAATGCTGCTGAACGGTCATTTAGTTTCTGCTATACGTATCCTGGCTACCTGCCATCTGCTGTTTGGTACTGGGGCTGTTATTCAGATGAAATGATTTTGGGTCCACCCTCGTGGTACCCCTTTCTACCTGTACTGCAGGGCTTGATGTCTGCCCACAACTGTCTCTCCTTCACTCAGTTCCGTTTGCTTTCTAGCAAGAATGGCCCACATAGGAGGCTTCTTCTGCAGCTCCCTGCCATCACCTTCCACATCACTAACAGGTAATGTTGGCCTTTTCTGTTGAATTCATTAGGTAATCTCCCTCAGTAATCTTATGCATAGCCCACTGGCCTTTCACTACTCTATTCCCCCTCAGTACTTTTCCCTTCCTCTCAATCTGATCATTGCATCCTATAACTGTACTTATTTATAATCTATTTATCTTTTCAGGACTATCATTGTAGTCCGTGGAAACTCTTAAAGAGATAATCGCCAAACAGTCACATTTTAAGGACAACAACAATATTAGAGACCCTCCCATGGTGCCAGCTATTAGAGACCCCTGCAGTGGATTTCAATGTCCTGCCTGCTTTATCGTGCCCAGCAGGAAAGGAAAGGAAGACTAAGAGACAAAGTGAAGGGGAGCGGGGACCTGGGACCACCAGTTGCTCTCTAGGAACAAAAGGCTCCAAATCTCCAGCAGCAGCATTTCATTAGCTAGTGCAGAGAAAGGGGAAGCGCTCTTTTCCTGGAACACAGGAGGAGCCGTGGTCCAGTGGGCAAGTTTGCATCATAAAGGAAACAAGCCAAGATCCATCCCCACACCTGAGTCCTAATCGCATTGACCCAGGGGAAGTGGGATTTCCCCATTCCCAAACCGGCCGACAGGCAGGCAGGGTAAGGCGAGCCTAGGACAGATTCTATGTCAATTTACAATTGGTGGTCCCCAAAACAACGACAGAAGGCTCCCTTCCTATCCTGAATATGCAGTAGAAAAGCTGCTATAAATGCTGATTGAGTGACTCATGGGGTGGGCCAATTAGTCCTTTTCAAATGCTTATTGAAAGGGAGAGTTATTTTGGTACCCTAATACAAAGAAAATTCCAAGTAAAAGTATACACAGAATCCACCCAGAGTCCTGGCCAGATCTTTGGAGAGTACCCTCCTTTCTAGCCCATCAGAAGATAAAGCATGCATGTGCCAATTTAGGATGTCAAATTACTTGAATTAAGTAAGACATACATCAGTATACATGGAAAATAACAAAGAGGAAAAAAGATATAACTTATAACTACCCTTGAGAGAGACTCCTCCCAGTGTGTATAGGTAATGATTTCCACTGGGGATCAAAGAGAACCACAAAGCACGTTCTGGTTTTGTTTGTTTGTTTATTTGTTTTTGGTATTGGGGATGGAACTCAGGACCTTATGCTTGCCAGGCAGGCGCTTATGCCACTGAGCTATATCCCCAGCCCAAGAACCACAAAGCATGGAAGACATCATTGCGACAAACCAGTGATTCAGGGCAAATACATCTCAGAAAATGCAGAACCAGGGTTGAGAGGTCATAAGCAGGAGAAATGAGCAGATAGTTCTTCAACCTAGTGCACAGAAGTCAGATCCAAGATGCAGATACTAAGCAGAGCTGAAAGGTACACTGAAGATACCCACGTCAATCTTACTATGTCAAAGATGTTCTGAACATAACTCCTCCACCCTCTCCTCAAAATCCACCTCTCTTCCTCACCAACTCCCTTTCTCAGCGGCTACTTTTTGCATTCACTTACTTACATGAGAAACCAAATACCATTTCTCACTCAATTACATGTAATTTTACCAATTAAATGTTTCTGGCTTATGCCCCTTATTCTAGACTTCCTAAGTGCGTCTAGAATCTCCCCTCCCTCTGTACTTCTGTCTGTACTTGTGCCTAGGTAAACTAGTTTCTCTTACCTGGTTTAGAGCAACACTTTCCTAATTGTTCTCCCACCTTCCAGGCTTGCCCTCCTCCCTTTTAGTCTTACTTTCCTGTACAAAACGATCTTTCTGAATCACATATTTCCTTCAGTCTTTTACATAGAACCTCATCATTTACAGAATTAAATTCAATCGGCATGACCCAGAATGCCTTGCGCTGTGCTATCCTTGCCACACCAGTCTCAAATCCTCACACTTTGTGCTTGAACGATGCTGAGTGATCCCAGATGGCTAGTTAGGCTCCTGAGACTTTGCTCCTGCTCTTCTTTTTGCCAATCTTCTCAAATTATTCTTTAAGGTATTTTTGCAGACCTCATGTACTTATTTACCAAAATATGAAATGAAGAGTTTTAAAATGAAATAACAAGCTTTCGTTTCTGGAAAGGTGTTAAGCTTTGTATCCTGAAAAACCATGTGATGTTAAAAAAAATAAAACAACTGGGAGCATGGAAGAAAATCATTTTTTGCTCTTAGGGAAAATTTTTTACTTTGTATATACTTAGAAATTTTTTAAATAGCAAAGAATACCCTACACAGAATAACAAAGATAAAAAGGAGATTACAAAACCATAAACAAATGGTTCTGGAATGTCCACTCCCATAAAGTCATCTATAGAGCTAGGTAAGGTTGAATTCATAAAAATTCTTTCAGTGTAGTTTGGGATATTTGTGTTTAGGAGTGTTTTTGTATTTGTGGTGTGTGTGTGTGTGTGTGTGTGTGTGTGTATCTTAAATCAATAAAAATTTACTGAGGTGAATGCTGTCACCATGATGGCAGAGTAGGAGCTATCAATTCTCGTCTCCTCCCAAAATAGTGAAGAGAAGGGTTCAGATCCCCATTAAAGAAGCATCAGCAACATAGTGGAGTAAGAAAATGAAGACTATCCACATAGCAAGGATTTTGTGTGTGTGTGTATGTGTCTTTTTGAGACAGGGTTTTGCTATGCAGTTCAGCCTGGCCTTGAGCTCACTTTGTAGTCCAGGCTGTCCTTGAACTCCAAATGATCCTCCTGCCTCAGCCTCCCAAGTGCTGGGATTATAGGCATGCACCACCATGCCCAGCCATATAGCAAGGATTGATGTTGAGAGTGACACATCAGAAATAGAAACAGTGAGAAACACAGAAAAGATCTAGTGGCTACTTGCCAAGTGGTGGGAATTACTATGGTCTCCAATGTCCTGGTCCTCAGAGAACACTGGCACCCCTTGCCATTAAAGTAACCAACAGCCATTCCTACAGGGAACCCTTTCTACCCACAAGAAGTAACTGATTTTTTGAGCTTTTTTAAAAAGCAGCCATTACTTCTTCCAGCCTCACATGGGCTATGACCTGGAGTTACAGCTGTCCCGTGCGTGTCTGCTCTCCAGACCGAGCTGTGTGGCTACATGAGCCCACCCACAGCTCAGACACTGGAGCTGTCATCACAGCAAACTACTCAGTCTAGGTCTAGGAGCCAGGCTGTTGCTGTCCATGCTCAGGGCACTGGTTCAGCCACCTTAGAGAACTATGTCCCACCATGACCCAGGAGCCACTCTCTGCACATGCATTTGCCCCCATTCTAGGACCCCATGACTGCTTCACAAGCATCTGCATGTTCTGCTATTAACACAATGACAGAGATGCCTTCATCCCAGACACCAGCACTTCTACTTCTCCGGATCCCAGAACCATAGCCCTTTCATGCCTGCTCATGTTTTAGGCCTCAGCAACATGGCCACTCCTGGGGTACTAGTACTACCCCCACTGCAAGTGAGTCCACAAACCAGACCCGGTGCCAGAAGGGATCCTTATAGCCTCTGCTTCCTCAGTGGCAGAAAAAGAAATCAGGAGGACCTCCAGTGCTACCAAAGACCCTGACAACCCTTGCTAGTCTTGTAGACATTCTGCATCATTTGACCCAGTAATCTTCACCACCAGCTTTGGCAGATAGAACTACAGAGCAAGGACAGGGCTGTGCCCTCACTAGTGAAAAAATCACTGCACCCCAGCTAGCAAGTGCCTGTGCACCTCGCCAAGAAGGATTTTTCCACTGTGAAGCTAGCTTTCCAGAGGTGGGCTTCTCCACAGACTGTGCAGATGTCACTATGAGAAGCAAGAAAAAGCCAAGAAGGCACAACACCACAATAAGACAATAATAACCCAATAGTGGACCCCAAAGAAGTAAAGATATACAAACTACCTGACAAAGAATTCCAAATAATCACTTTAAGGAAGCTCAGTAAATAAGAAAATAGAAAAACAGTTCTGTGGAATCAGAACACAATAAATGAATAAAATGAGAAATCTAACACAGTGATAGAAAAAAATGTATATGTAATATTATATTTTCAGATGGAACAGTGAACTTTTCAAATAGATTTTTGTTTTTATTAGTACATGTTGCAGTACATAGTATTCACATTGCATGTGTTGTCTTGCTACATGTACATAAGACCTCTTAATTGAATAAAATTATCAAATTCTGGATCTGAAAAATACAATAAATAAAAAGGAAAAATGCACAATGGAAAGCATCAACAGCTGAATTCATCAAGAAGAAGAAAAGAATCTATGAACTCAAAGGTAGGTTATTTGAAAACAACAAATCAGTGGAAAAAATTTAAACATAAGAATGAAGAGGAAGAAAGAAAGTTTAATGAGATGCAATCAAAATAGCAAATATTCAAATTATAGGAGCCTATAAAAGAGGGAGACAGATGAACACAAAAACTGAGTAGTTATAGAAAATGTTTCAAACCAAAGGAAAGCTATAAATATCAAGGTGCAAGAAAATTAAAGTTTTCCAATCAAATTCAATCTAAACAAGACTATGCCAAGACATATTATAATTCATGCTGTCAAAAATCACCAAGAAGCATCCTAAAAGCACCATGAAAAAAGAAGCAATTCACATCTAAGCACATTTCAATGAGATGAGCACCAGATTTTTTGTCAGAAACTATATAGGCCAGGAGACAGTTGTATAAGAGGTATGACCAAGAAATACAGTGATTGCATAAATGTTTAAGAAATTATTATAGTGACATCAATCTTCCTCAAAATATTTCTCCTCTCCTTATCCATCATTCTTACTATTGGAATACAATAATAATAGGAGACTCCAATACCTCACATTCAACAGTGGACAGATCATATAAACAGATAATCAGTTCAAGTCCTGTGTTTTATATCAAATGGAGCTATTAGACCTATTCCATCCAACACCAGCAGAATATTCATTCTTTTCTAGTGCACATGGGATGTTCTCCAGCTATATGAATATATAGTTCATATATTATACCATGACTTGGTTACTTTTCTGTCA